ACCTTGAAGGAGGATGAACTTGGGTGCCCTGAAGGGCTACTGGAGTGGAGCAATGCTGCCACCTTCTGGGTGCTAGGGGCACAGCTGGGTAGAACCCTGGCAGGGCACTGAGCTAGAGGGAGGGAGCTGTTGGGCCCACCACCACCCCTTCCGCCCTCCTGCCCCTGCCTGCTGATCCGCAGAGGCTCATCCAACTTATCTGTTCTGTTCTCCCTGAGGGGCCAATCCTGGCCTAGAACCAGCTCAGAACAGTCCACATGGCAGGGAACCTTCCAAAGGGACTGACTTTGAAGAAACACTCAGTGTGTGCAGTGCACGTGCACACACCCCTGCCTGAGCCTGGGCTCAGCCTGGCCTGCCCAGAGCTGGTCTGCAGGATCTCCCTGCTCCCTCTCACAGGCAGAGGCGGGACATCAGTGCCCTCCACCTAGCAATTTTCACACAAAGTCACAGCATCCCCACCGAGACGGTGTGGCTGCAGAGGACTGGCTTCTGCCAGAGGTGAGCCCAACTACCTCACGGCTCAAACTGCCTCCTCTTAGTGTCCCTCATTTGTTAGCTGGGCGTCCAGCAGAGGGCACGGAGCCCACCCAGTGACAGTGGAGGGACTCGCCTGGTGACGCCATGCCACCACATAGCTTGGCTTTCACATGTGGCCTTTTGATGACCCCTCACGCCTTCCATCCTCAACTTCAACTGCATTTGAAGAGAAATGGTTGAGTAGCACTGTGTTGGGACTTTTGGAGACTGGGTGGGATCTGTAGCCAAAAGGTTGTGAGGATCAAGGACAGAGTCCTTTTCATGGATAAGGAAGTGGCTGGCAGGGAACAGCTCGGCCCTCAGCAGTGTGTGTACCCACTTGTGGGAGGGCAGAGGCAGCTGAGAATAACAGATGGGCCTAACTACCTGTCCAACACCATTTCCTCCCAGAAAAGGAGCTCAAGTTGCTTCGGCAGGAGAACCGGAAGAACATGCTGCTCTCCGTGGCCATCTTCGTCCTCCTGAGCCTCATCTACGCCTACTGGCCGCTGTGAGCCTGCCATTTCTCCAGTCACAGCCCAGTCACAGCCAAGCAGGCCCGTTAGGACTCAAGAGGACCAAGGTACAAGGGGCATTTCTACCTCACCAGACACTGAGCAGGGCTTCCGGTTGGCTCAGCCCCTCCTGCCTCCGCTCCTGGTCTCCAGGACTGTGCAGGCTCCTCCCTTAGCCCAAGGGAGAGGCAATAAAGAACACCCAGGCGGCTGTGTGCTGAGTAA